ATGAAGGGATGAGGGAGGGATGAAGAGATGAAGGAATGGAGGGATGAAGGGATGAGGGAGGGATGAAGGGATGAGGGAGGGATGAAGGGATGAGGTAGGGATGAAGGGATGAGGGAGGGATGAAGGGACGAGGGAGGGATGAAGGGACGAGGGAGGGATGAAGGGACGAGGGAGGGATGAGGGAAGGGTGAAGGGACGAAGGGATGAGAAAGGGATGAAGGGAGCGAAGAAGGTGATGCAATGACGCCTTACAGAGGGGCTTAAGTGGGGTGAAAGGGGAGGGTGGGTGTCGCGACAGTGAGCTAAGGGCAGACGCCAGGTGAGGCGAGTTTAAATAGACGACGACTGATTGCTGTAGGTAAGAGGCGTGGTCCTGCTCCCGAACCTAAGTTAATGTCTTAACTTCATTTCACTAGCAAGGACCACACCATGGTAAGAGTTTAAAAATTTTATTGAAGGAAAGGGGTCGAAGGGTAGTGGGATGAATGATGAGGCGTCTGGGAACGTATGTCGAAGGAGGCTTGAGGAGCAGACTCAGAGTGGGGCATAGTCTCCAGGAAGGATGCTTTCCTGAGCCTGCTTTGGACCCCCAAAAATATCAGGGCTGAAACGCCCTGAGTCGAGAGTGCGCATGATAAAGTTCGAGGGGATGATCGCGGATGTAATTGCAGTATGCTTGGGACAACCAGCAACCTAGGGTCAGAATAACGTGGTCGGGGATCCCTGAATAGGAAGCTGAAGAGGGCAGCTCCTATGCGAAAGGAGTGGATGGAATAAAGGGCTGGAGAAATGCCTGATTTGCTGAGGATTTGATGGAAGTGTTTGGCGAACCAGAAACGGATGGCCTGGCAGCCGGATTTTGTAATGAACAGATGGTCGAGGGGAGAAGCATTAGCTCTAATGCGAGTTTGCACGTAATGGGCGAGAGGTTTGTAGGGGCTGAGAAAGGAGCTGAGACGAAAGATGTGAATAGGAAAAGAAGTTCCGAGCTGGTCGGTTTTACTTTTCCTGAGTTTGTAAATCAGGGTGTCCTGACTGAGGAAAGGAATGTCTGAGAGACACGGGTGGATGGAAGGGTCGTGTTTGGAGGCAGAAGGGACGAATTCGGAGCAGCGAAGGAAACTGAAGAAAGGCAACAGAAACATGCATTGTAGTGTAAGGTCTACGAACGGAGATGTATGGCCGGAGCACAGGGTGAGGATGCAGCATGTGAGGAGATCGGTGGTGAGCGGAAGACGGCGTGGGAGTGAAGGGGGCTCCTGCTTTTTAAGTCCTTTGAGCAGCATGGCTATGCGTCTGTGGCTAAGGGCTGGACAGGAGTTGCCTGTGGCCAGCTTAAAGAAAAAATTGATACCTGAAAGGTAAGTTCGGATGTTGGAAATGCGAATTCGAAGAGTGGAATGTGAATGGGTGATGAAATGACAGGTGGACATGGTATGGAGAGTGGGAAAAGGTAAATTGTACATTACGTGGTATGATTTGAAGCTGAGCCAGCCTGTCAGATATGCTGAGAGGGTGCGAGGGGCAAGGCTGTTAAGGATGGCTTGTTGTGCAACGTGGGAGAGGCTGGCAAGCTGCGGAGTCAGTTGAAGATTGTGGCTGAAAACGGAGGGACCGGTGTCGGATGAAGGTCTGCTGTAGGTGCCAATGCCCTGAATTTCTGGAAGGAGAAACGAGAGAGCGCATCAGCAATGCGGTTATGATAGCCTGGAACGTGAGCTGCCCTGAGCAGAAACCGATGTTGAGCTGAAACTAGTGTAAGTCTGCGCATGAGTTGCATGATGGCTAAGGAATGAGAATGACCTTTGTTAATTATTTCGACTACAGCTGTGTTATCGGAATGGATGAAGATGGAGTGGTGGGACCATTTGTGCCTCAAAGGAGAGCTGCGATGACGACGGGATACAGCTCATACAAAGCAGAAGAGGGAGAGGCCGAATCTGGTTGCAGGGAGTCAACCTCCGGGGGCCAAGTGGAGGCAAACCATCTGCCTTTGTGAAAACCGCTAGGGATGCACCGATACCAGATTTTTGAAAACCGAGTACGAGTACAAGTACTTACATTAAAGTACTTGCCGATACCAAGTACCGATACAAGTACTAATAAATATCCTTAAAAATCCTTATAATTAACTTAAACTGTTTATTTTCATTATACACTTCAAACATAAATAAACAAAGTGCATTACTATTGGTTTAAAACCATTTTACTGTCATACTATGACAGCATGTACAAAAAAAATTAAATAAACCTAACCAAATAGTTTTTTTTTACATTTGAACACTTTCTGAATCTTAAACAACTTTGCCATATCTTTCAACCTAAATGTAAATTAAATTAACTGTATAAAAATAAAATAATGGCTTGGCAAATAATAGTACATATCTGTAAAGTATGTCCAAACTTGTACAAAAAAACTAACAGAATGTTTTACATTTTAACTTACAGAATCTTTTAAACAGACAGCCTTGCCACATCTTTCACCTAAATGTGAATTAAATTAACTGAACCAAAATAAAATAATGGCTGGCCAAATGATATACTGTATCTGTAAAGTGTGTTTAAGTCTGGTGTAARAACGTGAGGGGCAAGTTTTTTTTGATGAAAAGCAGCATTTCTGCATTACCAGCAGTTATTCTGTTTCGGTTTTCATCAACAATGTGTGACACTGAGCTGAAAAGTCTCTCACTTTCAACGCTGCTACATGGAGCTGAGAGGTACCTCTGGGATAGTTTAGCCAACTCAGGGAACCTCACTTTATTAACTCCCCAGAACTGCAGTGGGTCGTCTTCCCGAGCAGKTGTAGGCTCTCCAAGGTAGGTCTCTAACTGAACTGCAGCACCAACTGGTGCTTGGCTCAGTGAAGATGACTCTTGCTCMTCTGTGATCTCTTCAAACACACTGTCCAGACTGCTGCAAGCTTGTGTCCTGCGAGGCTTTCTTGCAGGTGGCTCTCCCAGATCCTCCTCCTTTGGCTGTCCTGTGGAAACCCTCTGCAGCTCTGCCTTCAGCATATCCTTGGCGTCTGTTGCAACGTTGGTGGTTGAAAAAAAACGATCTTTGTACCTAAAACAAGAAAAGAAAATGAAAAAAGAAATATTTTTTTAAATGACAGTAATCATTTACAGGTAAAATACAAGGGAAAACGTTAAGGCCCTGTCACACTGTAATGTTTTTAGACAAGTCATGCCAACTTGTGAAATATTTTTGATGTGTTTATTACTGGATATTTGATCAATTTGTTAGCATTATAGTATATATACACCTAAAAGAGACTTCCAGTTGATTTATTTTTTATTCCATCTTCATCATAGATGTAAAACTTTTAATGATCGGCTCAAGTTGTCTAAAATGTGTTACAGGGCCCTCACTGAATATTAGAGCATTGTACCATCAACTATATAAATAAACTAAACTAAATAAACTCATTTTGTAGTATGTCAAGTTAATTGCAATTAAGTAATAAATGTTTAATTTGTAACATGTTGTAGCTTGGTCATAATGATTTTTCCTCCATCAGATTACTTGGCAAATAAACGCTTATGATGGACGCTTATGATGGCCCTGTGATGGACTTGCGACCTGTCCAGGGTGTACCCCGCCCCTCGCACTGTGACTGCTGGATATGGGCACCAGTGATCCACGCGACCCTGAAAAGGAAGAAGCGTGTACAGAAAATGGATGGATGGATGGATAAACGCTTATAAAAATAAAATATATTTTTAGGCAAATCAAGGCYTATATTATTATTTTTAATCATTTTTATTTATTTAATTTACCTTGGATCCAGTACAGTTGAGATGCAGTAGAGGGGGTTTTTCTCGGCATCAGTGAAGCRCCTCTTGACAGCTGCAGCCAAAGTGGACTTCATTGTTTTGATCCCGTGATCTTCACCAGTGTCTTTGTTTAAAAGTCTCAGAAGCACGGTCACAGCAGGGATGACGTCTGACACCAATGCATCAGAGCAGCTTACTTTTCGTGTCAACTCTTCAAACRGAGCCAGGACAGCAATAGCTTTTTCTAAAACTGCCCACTGGTGAGCTGTAAGATTTTCTGGAAGCTCATGTTCAGATCCATATATTCCAAGAACCCTCTTCTGCTCAATGAGAGACTGTAACATGTAGAAGGTACTATTCCAGCGAGTCTGCACGTCCTGCTGGAGTCTTTTAAGTGGTTGGTTGAGTTGTACCTGAATATCTT